CCTATAGGTGATTACTTAAAAGATGAAGCAACTCCATTTATGCCCAATTTTTGTTGTGAGCACAACAGTAAAATTTTATATTTTTATAGACAGAAAAGCAACAAGGAATTCACACTGATTTTACCTCTGTGTACTGGTAATGCCATAGATTATCTAAGAATTATCTTAAGTAAATCCTATCAAATCAAGACAGAAATCATTTCCACAAAATATCATTAGTAATTTTACATATCCATTTCAGGGTTTCAGGACAATAGCCCCACTTTCCTCCCTCCTAAGGTGTATTTTCTAAGGCATTCTATCTTAGGATAGAGTGCCTCTCTTCTCACTAAGGAAACACTTTTCTTCTCCTTGAAGGTCTTGCTTTCAAAGCTGTTTCACTTGCTCAACTCTACACATGCATGCAATGGTTATGACTTTTAGTCCTTAGGAATTCTTATTTTACAATGGTAGCTAAATAATAAACGTGAATAGTAAGAACTCATTATTACATATTATTTTCTATTATAATTCACATATAATTTGTATTTTATATGATATATAAATTAAATAGTAAAAAAATTAAGAGAACTGTGTTAGTACATGTCAGCATTCCATACACCAATGAATTTTATGAATATGCCATTTTCATACCCTGGAACCATGCATGCTTATCAAAGCGTGAGTTTTGAAGATATATTCATATGTGTGTGTGTAAAGGTACATGTATATAGGTATATATATATATATATCAGTATATATAATTATATGTACAATTTGCATCAGCACACACATATAAACCTATAGAGAGTTATATGTGTGCTTTCCTTACATTTGAAGCCAGCCATTGCTTTCCATTGCCCTTAGTCATCTCTGTGCCCAGTTTTTTTACCTTTGCTAATTGGAAAGGTCTCCTTTCCAAAATAACAAGCCTGTTCTCCATGTAGTGGCTGTTCCCGGGTGTGCTTGTCACTTTTTGGAGATGCCTGGAACATCATCTTGGTGTGACTCCAGATGACTAGATCTCTAGGCCAGAGGTGACCAACTAGGGACCAGAACAGTGGCTACTGCCTTCCCTGGCTTCATGCCCCTGAGTAGTATAATCTCAGGGGTCTTCGCAGGAGCAGCCAGACCTCTCTAGAAGTCGACAGCTGGCCCAAGTGTTTGTATATTTTTTTGCAGTCCATAGTCCCACTCAAGGCTAATTTCTAGGTATTCTAGTATAGCCCTTTGAAGGTTCCCTGCTTCCAAGACCCAATGATAGTGATGATGATGATGATGATGATGATATCATTATTATTGGATGAAACTGCAATACAGAGTATCTGCTGTTTTCTGGGTTGTTGGCTGTATGGTGGCAGGAGACAGTTACTAAGAGATGCATCTGCTCTGCAAGGCAAAATTTCTGTGTTCTACTGGGTGACATCTCACCCTCAGACGAGATCCCTCGAAGGCTGAAGTGAAGGCATCTGCCTCATGACTCGGAAAAGAGAACTTCACAGATTTGGAAGGGAGGAGAAGGCATAACCGTGAAAGAGAGTGGAAACTGCCCCTTGATGCTGGGAGATGAACCCAGTGGAGGAGGGGACGGGCAGAGGGCCGGGAGACAGGTTTGGTACCCGAGAAGCACTTGCCTTCGTGTAGAGGGCCTGAAGATGTCTCCCCGGGCTGATGAGGGTTGGGGTGCCTTGCCACTCGGGTTGTTGACCGGAAGTGGACTTAGCAGGCCTTCTGGAGGAGTCTGCACTCTGTGCTATTTCACACATGACTGTCTAAGAAGTCACAGGAAAACTGATCTGCTGGGACCAGATGCAAAGGAACCATGCGATGGAGCTGAGAACTGACCTTTGTCCAAATCCACTGGGGACAGAGGAGCTGCGATGTCACCATTTCTTCACTGATGTGTTGAGGCCCACAAGGCTACAGGTGGTGAACTTGAAACTGTTATAGGTGAAATGAGTATTTTGGGGACATTTCCACTCTAGTTTAGTGAGGGTTGCACTGAAATGGATTTGCATACTGAATATCATTTACCCAAACCACTTAGAAGCAGGCATGAGTGGGAATATTTTAAAGATTTTAGAATATCTCTGTATGTGCATAATCGTGGCAATGAGGTGTAAATCTACATGTGAAATTCATTCACATTTTATGTATCACTCATATGTGTAAACTGAAGGTAATTTCATGCATTATATTTAGGTTTTAGTGCTTGTGTGCTTGGCTTATATCCTGTCCCATGAGTTGTATAATCTTCTAACTGTTCTATGATGTTGGCTCTTAAAAATATTTTAGATTTTTCAGCGTAAAATGCTAACCTAATTCTCTTTCTGTCTGTCTGTCTGTCTGTCTCTCTGTCTCTCTCTCTCTCTGTCTCTGTCTCTCTCATCTCTATCCATCTCATATGTGTGTGTGAGAGAGAGAGAGAGAGAGAGAGAGAGAGAGAGAGAGAGAGAGAGAGAGAGAGAGAGAGAGAGAGAGAGAGAGAGAGAGAGAGAGAGAGAGAGAGAGAGAGAGAGAGAGAGAGAGAGGGTTTGGGAGTGTATGTCAGTGTGTATCTGACTTTGGGTGTGTGTTGTGTGTTTGGGAGTGTGTGTTATATCAGTGTGTATCTGACTTCGGGTGTGTGTTGTGGGTTTGGGAGTGTGTGTGTCAGTGTGTATCTGACTTCGGGTGTGTGTATCTGTGTGTGTGATGAGAAACACAGCAGCAATCAGTTTCTTTGAAAAGAAAACAGATCTTCATTTTCAATGTAGTCCTTTTTGTTTTAGTCAGACCTCACATCTTCCTGTTCTTTATTAATATTGGGGTCTCTGGGATAGATAAGCCTAAAATAATTGATATAATTTTGTGTAGTAAAAAACAGCGGAGTCAAAATCGAGGTGCAGAGGTGGGAGAGAAGAATTCTTCATAGAAGTTGAAATTTCAAGCAAATAGCTCTCACAGTTATATGCCTATGGCTTTATTAATGCAAATAACATTCATTTAATTTAATGATGCCATCACAAGTTTGCTGTGTGGGGGACAGTAACACCAACCTCTGCCTGCTCTTGTTACCATGGTCACTGAAGGTTTCAAGACAAGCTGAGAGAATTGTAGGGATTTATGGGAGGAACAGCACCAATAGGATTCCAGGCAGAAGCTCCGCCCAAGGTGGTGTGAGGACCACTAACTAGGACAGACAGAGAAGGTGGGAAGGGAGGGAGAAGGGGTCCTGTGGTGTAGAGAGCTAGTCTGGGCTTTGGAAATGGAAATCTGTGCTAGTCAGGGGCTCACAAGTCTCCCCAACCCCAAAACAGAGAAAACACCCACCTCATAGAACCTGTGTGAGTGTTCCCTGGAAAGTCCCTGGCACATAAAACTCAAGGGCTACCCTTTCAATAAAAGATAGTGGGGTTTCCAGTGACTCCAGAACAAGGTAGAAGAGACATTTGGCTTGAGGGGGGGGGGTTCAGAGACCTTCAAAGACCAAAGAGTTATGTTACTCTTGAGTAAGGAGTAGTTTGATTGAGTCAGTGAAACAGTTCTCAGAATTGTAAGTTAATGAATTAATACTAAGTAACAGTGGTTCATCGCTACACTGCTCTGTGACGAGCCATTTAGAACATTCTGCATACTAAGCATTGTGAACACAGTGAATTATTGCTGGACTCCAAATAATAATGAGGTTGTCCTGTGCGACTGGTATTAAAATTCATCGTTCTTTGTTTGCAAAGCACTTCCAGTTCTAATTATGTTCCCCTTGGGCTCATATGATGCTGGCTCGCAGTCCCCAGACTAGAGCACCATTCTCCAAACAGTCTGTGCACAGCCTGAGGACCCACGGGCGGTGAGAGGATACTTGAGGGCATGAGGAATCTATTCTAGTCATTATCCAATCTTGTCTGCCCTACCCACACAATGCTGAATCCCCACTTCCTTTCTGTTCTCACCCCTTTCCCTGTATGCAACTTTGTAGTAGCAGTAGGAGAATTTTCCTAATAAAATTTGTGTGGCATCCAAGTCCTGACTCAGTCTAGTTCCTTGACACCTGTCTTAAGCGTGATTCAGAAATTAGGGTATACTGCTCAGACTGAGCAGAGCCATCCTAGTGGCCACAGCTGTCACTTACTGGCAAGCGCACCAGGAGACGGTGCTGCAGTCTTTGGAATCATTTGGATTTCTTGAATGAGACATAAGAATCCGCTCAAGTTGCCCGGCTTCATTGGGCAGGCCCAGCGTCATTCACAGAGTGTGTCTATGGGGATAGTATTTTTTTGTAGCTGAGAAATATTACAGAGGGGGTGTTGCATACCAATTAGTTGTATTAAAATATATATTATGCACAGCTCTGTGTTGGGGTTTCAAAGTTTCCTTGACAACATCATTTAACTTCTTACTGTTCTTTTCACATTGCAAGTATAAATATCTAATATGTTTTTGTTCAAAACATCAATTAGGCATCAGCATAATCTTTATTAATACAGATTTGTTATTACAAGGAGACTGCTGAGCTATGGTAATTTGCACAGCAGGAACAATGAAATATCTCCTATTTCGGTTCTATCCTAGATTGCTTGGGTTTTTTCCTCTCTCTCTTTCTTCCCTCCCTCTCTCCCCATCTCTGTCTCTCTCTCTCTCCTCTCTCTCTCTCTGTCTGTCTCTCTCTCTCCCTTCCTCTCTCCCCCTCTCTCTGTCTGTCTCTTTCTCTCCTCCCTCTCTCTGTCTGTCTCTCTCTCCCCCTCCCTCTCTCCCCCCTCTGTCTGTCTCCCTCTTCCCCCTCTGTCTGTCTGTCTGTCTGTCTGCTCTCTCCTCCCTCTCTCCTTCTCCCTTTAGACACAGAGCACACACACCAAACACCTTCCATGATACCCTTTACAATAACAGAAAATCTTCAAAGCTTTTATAAGCACAAACATTCTTTTTCTCCCAAGACAAACACAGTGGAAAGGCCCCGATGGGAAGTGTATCTACTCTCTCTGAGTGGGTGTTCTAGTTGCAGGTCCCACTTTTAATTTCTTGACTTCTTTTCCCGCATATAGCCAGAACTCCCCACTTCCTGCGGATTCAGAACGTGGAGGTGAATGCTGGCCAGTTCGCTACCTTCCAGTGCAGCGCCATAGGCAGGACGGTGGCTGGGGACCGGCTCTGGCTGCAGGTATGTGACCAGCTTTCACTGTCCTGAGAGGCAGCAGCAGGACAGCCACACCACACCGCAGCCGTCGCTGCTCTACAACATCCTTTACACATCAGCGGGACCTCCAGGTTTCCAAGCTTAGTGGGGCAGATTTCCTCACTTGCCCTCTCAGATTTTCTATTAGCCCCCGGTGCTGTTTTCTTGATGATCTCCTTCGACAGATTTTGTCAAATTAGATTTAGCAAAGAACTTTCAATTCTAAACTATGATGCTTCTCCCTCCTCGTCCACTGAAGAAAAACAACCTCAAGAATCTCGCTCCAGTCTCTCTCTCTTTCTACACACACACATACACACACACAGACACACACACGGACACACACACACACACACACACACACACAGACACACACACACGCATACACACATGCACACAGACAGACAGACACACACACAGACACACACAGACACACAGAGACACACACACAGACAGACACAGACACACACACACA